TAAACTGACTATATATCGTCTTTTACTTAACTGCTAAATCCAAAGTACAATTTAACTACTAAATTCAAAGTATCATTTAGCTCAGTTTCAGGTTATTTGAAATTATAATATGTAACGGGGATAATAGATTTATTTTTGTACAACATTTCATTTCTAGCTGTGAGACATGATCACCTACTTGGATGTATTATTAGGGATTCCATGGCAACTGAGATGATTTAAATACATGTATGCAACTTACAAGTCAAAATAATCTAAAATATTAATTCTTGGTTGTGATGAAGCAAAGCTGGAATAACTGGAATAAGTTCCACATTTCATTTTAAATCACTTTCTTTGAGACGTCTTAACACGTCTTTGTTGATGAAAACTGTTTCAAAAATAAAAAATGATAATTTATTGTAAGTTTTCTTAAGTTGTAATTGTCAAATTGGTATCTCTCTCTTTGTATTTTAATGCTCTGTGCATAAACTTATATTTTTTATTTATACGCTTTGAATATCTTTAATAAAAACAAAGTTTGTAATTTTAGGTTTGAAATTGTTAAGTGATCTCAGATTTAAACTTGTTGGCTGCTGATTTGGAAATGACTTTCAGTATATGTATCAATTAAATAATGTGTACAAGTAGATTTATTACAATCAGCATTGATTTTGGTGTTTTATTGTAGCTGTTGTTTTAATATGATGTATTTGGTCACAGATAAAAGAAAATACATTCAGTTCCTTTTAGTAAGTTAAAAGTTAAGTGTGTTAGTTACACATGTCCCACAGCTTCAGCTTAATCCCGAACTAAAGTTCATTTTATAGTTTTGTAGTTGTAAATATTTAAAAAATAAAATATTTAAACCCAAATATAACAAATTATGCAAATAATACATTTTTTAATTACCATGTACTATTAAATGAATTGAAGGTCTCCTAAATTCATGAATTTGGGAATTTAGTCTTTGTTCTATTTAGTTGAAAAAGTAAATTTCAGCCTCTGCTGCTGAAACAGTTCCTTTTTTTTATGTTTTGAATAATTACAATAAATCTGCATAATTTTGCAGAAATTACGAAAATTGGAGAAACCCAAAGGACCAAGAGGACCATTTTCTTTCTTCATCTCATCCTGCATGTTGGAGAGAAGAGATGCCCCATTGGTGGTAAGCTTTTAGTTGTACCTTTTTTATAGTAAGACAATGATTGTGGTGGAGAATATATTTTATGTTAATTTTTTTAATATTGTGAGATGAAATTAAAAATTATATTTTGTCATATGCTGAATATTGGAATTGATGCTGCCAATTTTCATGATCTTTTTTATATGAAATTGAATATTTTTAACTGTTTTAGAACAGGACCACTTAACTTTATAAAAACCAATTGATGAAACACCATAGTTATCTCAAGGTCTGCAAATTCCTTATTAATTTTGCAAAGTAGAAAGTAAATGCACAATAAATATTATCAGTTAAATTTTGCTGTTGGATTTTGTCTATTGTTCATTTTCTTTATTATCACAAAATAGGAAACACTTGATAAGTTGAAATTTTAAATAGCATGTAGAAAATTAAAAATACAAGCTAATGAAGCTTCAATGTAAGGTTAATTATTTGTTTCTTTAACCCTATCGACATGGGTATCTTTTACTGCTCATGACACAAGGTTTTAGTGCCTTTTATTAAAAATTTTATTAAATTAGTTTTTGTTTATGTTATACCAATTAGTATAGCATAAAATCTTAGCTAATAATCCATATTTTAATAATTTATGAGTTTTAAGTTCTTAATTCTACAAGGCAATATTCCTGAATTTCCCCTAGTGTGACACACATGACACATTTTCTCTAGGCTTCTTCTCTTCTCTATTTTATCCACCACCCCTACAATCACTACAAAATTAAGTGTAAGTTACTCACTGTAAAATTGTCATTGCTCTGACAAACCATAATTTTTATTGATTTCAAATAGAAAATCACACCCCTCCTGCCATACCCACCTGTCACATCCTCTCTTCCAGGATTTATTAATAGTTCTCTTTTACATTCACTTGTATATTACCTATAACCAATAGAAAGCGAAGGTTTTCAAATGATGTATTGTATAACATTGTGTTCTGAACGATAAGCGTCAATTTCATTAATAATACATGGTTAATTCCTGTGGGACAGTTAACGACTAGGTTGGATGACCTTGTAATGGCTTTTGTCGCATAGTTAGAAAGCCAGAACAATTTTGAGACTTAGGGGAAATTGTCTACTTTTTGCATTTTGTTAGTCTATGTTCTTTGGTGCATTATTTCATTAAATAAAAATTATTTAGTGCATTACTACCATTTGTATAAAAAGTAGGGTTAAGTGTCATTGATAATTGTGAGCAAGAAAAAAGAAGATTGGGTAAGTATTTTATTTCTTGTTTTTCATGGTCGTTCATTATTTATTATTATAAAAGTAACTAAAATGTAAAAATAATGATTTTTTAGGTTAGTTAAGATTAGATTAGGTAAAATAAATAATAATATAATAAAAATGTTTCGCCAGTCACACACAGGAGCAGCTCATTGGTAATGTAATTAGATAGTGTAATGTGAGCTGCACATTACAACTTATAATGGAGCAAGTAGTAGTTAGACACATTCAAAAGGCAATAAAACAATAAAATTTAATTATAAATAGATGTATACTGTTATGCGTTTAAAGCTACTTAGGATAAACTAATGTAGTTTCACGCTACATTTAAAGTCGTTATCAATATATTCGTGGACAAATCTTTATTTTAGTTTGTTGAAAATAATTTTTTGTATGTGAAAGACTTGTAATATTAACTGAAAGACTGTCAGATTTCTTTAAGATATACACACTATATGAAGAGTTATAAGTATTAAATATATAAAGACTTTAAATGAGTACAAAAAGGTGCAGTGATTATTTGTTTGGGTTCCGTACAAGGTACATTTGCTGCTAGTCTTGCTTATGTGTTCTTATACAGTTCTTATTTAGCTGGCTGTAAGCTTATTTTTTTTATAGAATTCATGGTTTTAAGTACTTCAGAAATAAAATAACCTGTGTATATTTTATTGACTAATATCATTGATTTTAGTGTGAAAACTCCCTTAACAATGTATGCCAACACAGTCCCTCAGAATAGAAATAGTGGGCACACCAAGCATGCTCCTAGCTATGATAAGCATGTGGTTGATCCTCCTCTGCTATATATATATTTAAATCCTGTTTTGACATAACCATTACTGATTGAAATACTGGGCAGCAGAAAGGCCAGTTTATATGTTTATAGAAGACTTGAGGATTTTGAAAGAATTTTTGTAAGAACTTTTTGGGTTTGTCTAATGTACAGTGATGGACACACTTTTACATTCTGTAAGGTAAATAGTGTTGTGAAAATAATCTCTCGTAATTTTTTATATTACTTTTGGTCATTTTACTTGTATAATGTTTTGATAGGTTTCATGAAATTGCAGGTCCAACTACAATCTTTATTTACGAGAATGACATCCATTAGGTGGTAGCATGTCATTAACTTAACCATAAACCAGGATATATCTGGAATTTTCGTTAGTTGATGAGGGAACAGAAAAAATTTTTTTAAATTATCATTTTGATGGAGTACACGTAAATAATTTTTTTCAGAATATTTGGCAATGGGTAATTAGAAATTCTGTCTTGAGATTAGCCCTAATGGTAGATTTTAAATTATCAGAGTAATGTAATTTCTTTTTTTTCAGTGTTTATCACTTTTAAAAACCTTAAACGATTTTTGGTATTATAATTTGATTTATTGTTTGGGGTTTAAAATCAACCAGCTTAACCTTTCATTTAACCAGAAACATGCTGAAAAGTATACAAAACAATAAATGAGTTAAGTATACAAAACAATAAACGAGTTAACTTTTCTTATCATGAAATAAAATACAAACAATAAATGTGATTATATTTTTTATAATGAATATTATATGCAAAAAAAACTTAAGTTTCTTACCAAGAATAAAAATGAAAAATAATAAATTTGATAAAATGTTCCTGTTGTGCATGAAATATATAGAAAATAACATAATAAAATTTCTTTATTGTCTATAAAATGCAAAACAATGAGTTTAATCGAATTTATGTGTAATGAATAATATAAGAACAAGAAACTGTATTGACATCTCAGAATAAAATACAAAAGAATAAAGGGGATTATGTGGTTATTGTAAAAGAAAAAAATACTTTCACAATCTTTTAGGTTACATGTGAATATTACTTTGAACATGGAGCAGCTAACCCAATGAGAGTGCATACCATTGTAGTTTCCACCCAACATATAGACACAATTCCACTAGAAGAGGTGCGTCATGAAGTCATGGAGAGAGTCATCAAAGAAGTCATTCCTCCTCAATACCTAGACAAGCAAACAATATATCATATCAATCCCTGTGGCAGTTTTATTGTGGGTGGGCCAATGGTAGGTTATGGTAATATTTTCAGAACTGATTCTGCATATAATTTCCAAATTTGCTGAACACATTTAATAAAATATGTCAATTGAAGTAATTTATAAATAGTTCTTTTATATTATAAAATGTAAGAAGAGATCTGGTCAGTTGAAAATCTGGTCAGTTTTTGAAATGCAAATTTTTCAATAGCATGTTTGACATGATAACTCGTTTCTACACACAGAAAAGTTATCTTCGTTGCATGTCTACTTACAAGATTTGCATGCCACTAGCCTTGAGGCAACTGTCACCTAATTTGACATGTTCAAACCTAAACAGTGCTACTGCGTGATGATGCTATCATGTGACAAAAACCCTCCATCAATAGAAGGGTGACACAACCTTCATATGCAGTAACTCCTCCTTGCACTTGAATTTGTGATAACTCCATTCTTCTACCTAGCAATGTATTGAACAGACATGATTAATTTTCTCATCTGATTTTAATTTACTGAGATTGGTATTAACAAAACTTTGATTTTGTTTTTCTTTTGGATTTTATGTCAAGAGTATTAATTTTATCATGAATTCTCAAATGATGGTGACTTGCACCTAGTTCTGTGTGAGTAGCATTATACACACACGGGCCTTATTTCTACTATGTTCTAGAGATTCATTAACTGTCTGGGACATTGCAGCCATCATTCAATGTATTGTGGATTATCACATGCTTACTGGGACTCCTACTCCCATCTTATAGGCTTAACTTCTTCCTCCTCAATTGGGAATGCTTTGGTTTGGGCAGTATCTTACCTTTTGAGAAATGACCTAAACCTTCCAATCTCTTTCTAGATTTTATTCTCAAGTATGTTCTTGTCTTTATCTTTTTCCTTTTCCTATTTTTTTTTAACTTCATGCTTCACAATTCTTGGGGTTTACCTTGTCTTTCCTCAGGATTTATACTGCCTCCTATCTAATCATTCCTTGCTCACACCCAAGTACCTTGTCCTCCTTGCATTCATGACTTTTTGTCTTGACTTGTAGTCTTTCTTCTTTTCTTTTTCTCAATTCTCTGTCCTTGATGTCTATTTGGCCAGCTTGGGGATTGGACCCCTACCTTCTATTTTGCTCTCTGGTTCTCCATTTTTATGTTTTCTTCTTTTTCTCAGTACTCTCGTGTATTTCCTTTTCTGCATCTTATTTTTGTCTGAGGCACTTCATTGTGCTTCAGGTGGGTTTTCTATAGATTTTCTTTCCCTTCTATTTGCTAGCTCATCCTGTTGTACTTCTTCTGCTCTATCCCTTCTTACTTTGTTCCACTGCAGTTAAGACTCATTGAGTCAGGTTATGCTCTTCTTTATTGTTATACTCCTTCTACCTCCTTGGGTTAATTGTATTCATCAGGCTCCCTATCTTTGTCTGGATGTCATGACCTGGACTGACTGACCTTCAGTCCTTGTTATCTTCCTGGATTTTTTCTTCTTGACCTTGCCCTTTACTCCTGTTTCTTGTCTGAATCAAACTGCTCCTAACCTTCCCTTTCCAGGTTTCAGGCCTTTCTCTTTTTCTTATCCCTCTACCAGAAGTCTAATTCATAACTCTTCTTGTCAATGGCTATCAGACATGTACGACTCTCTGGGTATCCATCTCTTCTCTTACTTTTGATCTCATTTTCTGCCCACAGTCATTTCATTTCTCCACTTTGGTCTCCCTTCTTGCTTCTCTTTTCTTCTCATATCCATTTCTCTCCCTTCCACCTTGTCTGTGACCATTTTAGCCTGGTTTGTGGTTTTTCAGGGTTGATGTATCGGACATCTTCCTATACATGTATATTTTCTATGTTTTCTCCGTCAATTTCATGCATTCCATTCCTTACTCTTCCCTTTGACACAGGCCTAGCATGACCAGGTGGTTAGGGAACTTGACTCGCAATCTGTGGGTCGTGGGTTCGAATCCCTGTCCCACCAAACATGCTCGCCATTTCAGCCATGGGGCATTATAATGTGATGATCAATCCCACTATTTGTTGGTAAATGAGTAGCCCAAGAGTTGGCGGTGGGTG